CCCTCTCCTCAACAGCCCAGTTTTCTTGATCACTGAGAACACGTGTGCCACGGGGCTGTCACTGTTTGTCTGTGCACACAGTGGGAAGGTGGCAGAACCCAGGCAGCCAAGACCCTGGGCGGAGGGGACGGTGTGAGACTGGAGAAGTAGCCAATGTCAGACAGCTCGCGGGAAGCGAAGCCAAGATTTCTGGTTTGTTATTGACAAGAAATGTGAAAACTGCCTTGTTTTCTACAGGAAACACGCAGTCGTGTTCACAGGGACAAAATCCAAACACCTTCTCATCACTGGCAACATCAAAGCAGTGACTGAACAGTGACTTACAGCAAAATGCGACAAATAGCGTCTCCTTTTTGTGCCACGGAGTCAAAGTGTTTGATGACCTTCTTTCTGACATCTATGACCTGTCAGGAAAAGGTGACCATTAGAGAAAGCACAACCTCGTGCTGTGCAAGCCTAAATGACTTGCTAGATTTTTCTCCCTGTCCAGTTCTCAATAAAAAGCCAGTTTGACTCACCGCCAGTGTCCCGTGCAACCTGAAGTGAACAGGCACTAAGATGATGTCCTGCTGGAAGAGATCCATGTCTCTGGTGCATCTCTTCACTGCTTTGTAGCCCCAAGCACTTAGTTTGGAATAAAAAGAAGTACTAAAAGCATGGACTGCTGGATATCCTGCCTTCTTGTTTCTTTCCACCACGAGACGCAAGTAGAAATTAATGACCTGTACCATCAGGAGTAAATTTGAGATGTAAAAGAAGACACGAGCTTACCAAATGAAAAATACAGCAACGTGTCTTTTCTGGCCACCCTTAAGTACACAGTGGAGAGAACTCCAGCCTCAGCTGTCAGCTTTTGTTCTGAGAATTTTGCACTTCGTTACATCTGCAGTTTGATAAAAACACCTGCCACCCACTCCAATAACCTAAACTAACTCCTGGAAGCTGCATCACAGAAGAAGTAAAGGAACCTCCAGAAACACTAGACCCTTAAGTACCTCAAATAAGAACTGTACAGAGATTTCTGGGCTCTGCAGTGGAGGTCATCAAATAACTTTGAAAAGACTTCTGTACACGATGAAGCGGTATTTTTTAATAAAGGCTGAATGAGAATATCCCTGTGCTGCAGCTAGTTTTACCTCATCATTTAGCCAGCAAAGGTTCCTTAGGGTCTGGATGTCCTCACGAGTGACCTTTAGTTTGAAGAAAGTGCTCATGATCTCCTCGGGCTGACCATTGGCAAATGCGGCAGTGACCTCTCTCTCCATGGCCTGAAATGAACAATGAAATGGGGAAGGACTTGTGAAACAGAGCATCGAGCACGTGAACCTGCGGGCAGCTCGGGTGACAGAGCACCTGGCTTTGCTGGTTTCTTGCTAAGTTAGCAATAGCACTTTTGTGTTGGTTGGTTTTGTTTCAGCATCCTGACTTTGAACTTCAGAGCCCAGGTTGGCTTCCATTTGTTTTCTCCAAGGAAGCTGAGAGAAAACAAGTGGACGAGCAGACACGCAAAGCAGCTAAAAAATGAGCAGAAGTACAGCAAAGCCCTTTCCCACCTGCTGCCGCAGCCCTCGCAACGCTGAGGCTGAAGCCAACCCCAGCAGGCGTTGGCTCTTGCAGCAAAGTCAGGAGCCTGAAAGAATGGGAAGGTGGGGGGACGCCTGAAATGAACAATGAAATGGGGAAGGACTTGTGAAACAGAGCATTTTGGATCTTTCCATTTCAGTCTGCTTAAGGAATGCAAATAAACCACTAGGCCTGTTGGTAGAATACTCTGATCTGCAATAGCATCATCTTCTTGGCCAGCAAGGTAAGAAAAACCCCTGTGTTTTTTTACTGAGCATCACTCTGCAGCCTTTGTAAACTCTGGATGTGCCAGCCCTTTCCAAGTCAATCCTCAACAGGCAAAAAAAGGCCGTGCTCAGTGAGACTGCAGCTCCCAAGAAGAACAGCAGCCAAAATTCATCCCAAGCAGGGCAACCTGCACTCCCACTCCCTTGCATGGCATCACTAACTCCCGTCACCGCCGCTACGTGCAGTGCATCCATGACTCGGGGAAGGGGGAAACTGAGGCAGCTCCCCTGGAGTCAGGCAATCGGGAGCCCAGTCTGTGCATGCAGCTGGCTGCATTTTGGATCTTTCCATTTCAGTCTGCTTAAGGAATGCAAATAAACCACTAGGCCTGTTGGTAGAATACTCTGATCTGCAATAGCATCATCTTCTTGGCCAGCAAGGTAAGAAAAACCCCTGTGTTTTTTTACTGAGCATCACTCTGCAGCCTTTGTAAACTCTGGATGTGCCAGCCCTTTCCAAGTCAATCCACATCAAGAGCAGCTCCATTGTTTTTCTGTTGGACAAAAGGACGTTAAGCTACTGATCAAGCAGGGATATTTTTTTTTTTTTTTTTTGCTAGGGGATAGCACAGAAAATCTTGCTCATGTATAAAACTGGAAGGGTTTTTGTAGGCATATCCAACCAGCAAACTCCAAAGTTACTTTTTATTGATGACTGCATTCCAACCGCACACCCATGTAGTGCTGCACTCAAAATTAAACGGAGGCAAGAGAGGCAGAAAGCTAAGTTTGGCTTGGACTACCGTGCAGAACCCTGGCAAAGCCTCCACATGCAGGTATCAACTTGAGATTGACATTAGTATTTGGGATTTCCATGATTAAAATTTTATTTTTGATCTCAATCCTGACCAGAGATAAAAGTCAAAGAGAAGCACTTCCTATCTCACAGAACAAGAGAAGACTAAAGACACCATTAAAGTCTAGCTTTGCATGTCAATGAAGTCTGTGCAGGAAAGATTTTGAGGCTATACCCAACAAACTGAAGGGGAAGAACAACAACAGTATAGTGTAGTGTGCTCATAATAGTCCAGAAACAAAATTAATGGCAGCAGAAAACCCTTTTTACAATAACACTACTCATCAAATAACGCTCCCACTTTCCCAGGGAAAACCAACCTGGACAAACACATGAGTGTCGTGTTTGTCCTTAAGTCACGTGAGTGAAGATTACAAAAATTCCTGATCACAAACAGCTGTATTTTCCTAAAAAAGGGAAATAATGAATAACACAAGCTTACCCCTGCAACGGCTTGTTCCACTGCTCTTTCCTGAAGTTCTTCTGGTGGTAGGGAGCAGCTGCGAGAAGGAGAGAGAAAGAGCGAGGTGAGCTGTGTATCTGTATTCTCCCATGTAACTCTCAAGAATTCACCGTCTGGGTAAGAAATGCTTTTTCGAGGCTGATTCTGACTAGCGCCTCGGTTGCACACATGTGACAACATCATCTCAGCTTCCAGCACGATTCTTTCAGAGCAGCACAACTGGGATAGAATGAAGAGCTGGGAGCTTCCTAAATTGTTTGGTTTTTTCTTCATCTACACGCACAAGGCTCCTTTTGTTTCTCGTTATCAGTTTCATCATTTGGAGAAAAAGGAAGCAACCAGCCCTTCCTCTATCAAGTGCTTTGTGATCTACTGGTGATAAATACTGTGTGCTAGGTGTTATACTGCAAGGTGTGACATGAAGGTCTGCAACTATACTTGCATCCAAATATAGTTAGCTTACGGAAACTAAGACCAGCACATCGAATTAAAAATGGGACAGCTACAGGACGTTTACTTGCCTTCTATAGGCTAGTCAAGAGAGTGACTATCCCCCATTTGGAGAGGATTACCATTAAAACCACGCAGACTCTGAAGAGCAAACAAATACACAGACATTAAAGTTCTCCATATATATGTCCCTCCTTCAAAAACAAAAATTGGCATTGTCACCAAAGACCCCCTTTTTCAGGAGGGAGACCTTCAACACACATGGTATTCTACGCTTCCAGTCCAGCATGGTGAGAGCAGGTATCATGAGCTTTGTCAAATGACTTCAGGTAGTAGTTGAATCTGCAAAACAAAGGCAAGAAAATGTTCCTTTGACTCGAACCCATCATACTCTATCAGTTATTTTATTTCCTCCTCTCCCGTTGAGCTTAGGTGAGCCACTGACAATTTAAGCACAGAACAGTGCTCCACAGCTAAATATAGTGCTGGTGTTTAAAGCAGGGAGAGGAATAGGAAAAGAATTAGCTAAAAACCGGACTGCTGCAATTGAATCTCTCTCTGCTCCCAGCCATGCTTTCTCTCTCCTCTCTCATTTAGGGGCAGGTCACCGCAGAAGGATGTGTGCGTCAGACTGCCAAACAAAATCTCTCCCTGTAGCTGCACTCACTACAACCAAAAACCCATTTCCCTCAACAACACAAAGCCACCTGAGCTCCTAGTCCTGCCAGCTTCCTTTTTCTGGCTCTCCTCTTCAAACCCAAGACACCCTGTAAATCACGACGACGGCCTCAGTCCCACCAGGCTTGACAAGCTCTCTAGCCCTTACACTTAAGATCCCAGTTCAAAGGCAATGAAGTGGTTTGGCAGAAAGATTCACAAGCAAAAATGGATTCTGCAAATCCAAGGCCAACTCAGTCCGTCCCTCACTCCCCCTTCACTGCCTTTCTTCCCCCAGCAAAGGACCCAGCGAACACCACACCAGCAGAACCCTGTTTGTCACACAGCACGGCTCTAGCACAGGGGCTGTGTTTGAGATGCAACTGGCTCGAGAGCAATTCCAGAGCCACAAGCTAGATCTGCCACAGCACAGCATATCAATAAATACCATTTGTCATCTTCTGGCCACTACTGGAGGCTGAAAGAGACACACACACAGAGCCAGAAGAAACAAGAACTAGGATTAAAAGAGACTCTACCTCTCCATTTCAACGTCCTGAGGCTCTGGGCAGCAAACATCAATATATTTGACACCTGCAGAGAAAAGCATTGATATGAAAACAATAAGTCAACGTTCAAAAGCCATCAGATGTATGTATCTCTCGATTTCTGGGTGATAAATACAAAAAAAAAAAATTTAAATGACTGTATGATTGGGAAGTTTGAACTCCGGCAAGCAGTTTGAACTTTGAATATCATGTGGGAGCGTAAAGGAAATGCCCTGTTTTGACCTGAAGTCTACCTACAAAGTGGAACAGATCTGAATCACGGGGATACTCACTGGTCATTGGTGGTGCACAAGGATAGACATCTCCTCCAAGTTTTGGTGCTTCCAGGTAAGTCATCGGTGGTTCCTTGGAGCCTTGGACTTGACCAAGCAGAAAACCTTTTGGAGAAGTCAAAGAAAAGAGAAGGATTTTTACCTCAGAAATGGAATTATCTTGTGAGAAAGGGGTGGTGTTTCCTCGAATAAGTAAGCATGGGTTCCACAAGGCAATTCCTTCTGGCAAGCTACTAGTGGATGTATCAGAACTGAAGGACTGCATCTGAGGCACACACTCTGGTGTTCCCAGGTACTACCTTAGTATTGCACCTGCAATAATCCCAACACAACTCCAGGGGTACAGCTGTATGGGACACAACGTAGGGTGAAAGGGGCCAAAGGGACGGAGGTGACTCTCAAAGTCAAAGTGTGGGCAAGAAGAACTGTCAATTTGATGGACCTTCTCTGGGAACTGCTTGCAATGCCAGCCAGACTTTGGGCCTGCAGGCTTTCCTGGCCGTTGTAGCGTCAAAACCAGCTTTTGCCATTTTTCTGGTCCGGGCTCAGAATCCGGAAAAACAGTTGGATTTGACCCTCAAGGGGAAAGTGTGGGCAAGAAGAACTGTCAATTTGATGGAGCTTCTCTGGGAACTGCTTGCAATGCCACCCAGACTTTGGGCCGGCAGGCTTTCCTGGCCATTGTAGCGTCAAAACCACCTTTTGCCATTTTTCAGGTCCGGGCTCAGAATCCGGAAAACAGTTGGATTTGACCCTCAAGGTGA